GTCCCTTGCACCGCATTGGGTAGTCCAACAGCTGCTCCCAGAGAAGGCTTCCTGTTCCCCAGAGGGCCTAGTGCTACTGTATATTAATCACTAGTAATTAACTAATTAGTCATTAATTAATTACAGTAATTAATGACTGTGTATTAATTACTAGGCAATGGACCCAAAATAGACAATGAGCCAAAAGTGGAGACTGCACAGCGACTCACACCTCCTGTGTGTGGGGAAAGTCTCTAAGAACCAGAGAAGCCCTCAGCACTCCTGGAGGCGGAACCAAATCACCCCTCAGACCAACGAGCCACAGCTGAGCCTTTTAACCATGCTCCCAGGGTGAAAACTCCAATCCCAGCCCAACGAGCCACAGCTGAGCCTTGTGACCATCCTCTGAGGGTGAAAACTCCAATCCCAGCCCAACGAGCCACAGCTGAGCCTTTTGACCATCCTCCGAGGGTGAAAACTCCAATCCCAGCCCAACGAGCCACAGCTGAGCCTTTGCACACATCCTCCGAGGGTGAAAACCCCATCCTGCCTTTCCTGCCAGGCTGGCCTGCCCCTCCTCTGGACACGGACTCACCTGGCAGCAGCCCAGCCCGCACCCCCTCAGGCTGTCCTTTCAATAAAGGCCTTATCAAGGAAGGAGCACAAGGTCTCCCGGCCAAAGAGGAAGAGAATGTACTCATCAGTGAAACCTGCCAAGGGGAATGTTTCCTTGCTCCCCTCCCAGCCTGGGTTACAGCATTCTCTCTGCCCCATCAGAAGACATCCTGCTCTTCAGCTGCATCCCATTGCATGCTGGATGCTTTACTTTTTTCCTCTGAAGCTGCAGGCCACAGATGAAAAACTGATGTAGAGGGGTTCCAGGGCTGAGTCAGGATATGATTTTTCCTGTTTCTTTAGAAATATCTGACCCAACTTCTTTTTGGAGAAGGGACACTTTAAAAAGCAGTACCACTTGGTTCCCCTCCTGCCACCATCTCTGTTTATTGACACTGACATTTTTAACTGGGCTCTTGGGAAGGAGCCTATGTGGTTTCTGAGGACACTCTCCCAAAAAAAAAAAAAAAAAATATTCAGAGGATGTAGCTGATGTTTGTGTCTCTGTTAGTATTCCATTCCTAAATTTATGCTTCCAGAGAAATGCCAAAACTGACTTGGACAAGTAAAATTCAGTGGGCAAAGAGTGTCATTTCCTAAATCTGCAGCAGACATGTTTCATAAAAACAACTAAACTATATATTATAAACAGCAAGACCACTGGACATAAGATTTTCCAAGCATTTACAGGTGTGACTGCAGAGGTGAAACATGAGTTTAATTGGTTGTCCATATGTACCATCTTCCTCACTGACATTAATGCAGTAAAACCTTTTCTTTTGGGGTGTGCGTGCAGACATCTGGAGAGCAGATTGTAACAGATCTCTAGTTGCAATGTTATCCCTAGAAAAACTATGTTTTTTGAACATGAAAGAACACAGTGTTTTCAAGGAGCTTTGCAGTCACATCTGGAAGAGGTTCTCCTCCTGATGCTTCGAGACAGAAAGGAGAAGAGCTGATGGGATATCAGTCGAGGGAAAGCTTGCTTCCTCCTCTAATATAGGAAGCTGGACTTCTTTTGAATTATTTAGCATTCAGTCAGGAGATAAAAATACACTGACTGGGTGAACCAGTGACCTCTTCTATGATCACCATAGCTGTAGTAGCTGGGGGGGCAGGCAGGGCCTGCAGCTGCACATCTTCTCTGTGCTCTCATGCAGAAAGCTGCAATGTTACTGCAGATGCAAGACAAGGCTGCAGCCACCTTGTTGAGGCTGGGCTCAGAGGGAAGGCTCTCTTGCACTTTCAATCACAGCCCTGCTCCGATGTCTCAGAGCCCCAGGTAGCTGTGCAGCATCACTGAGACTCACCTTGCTGAGACCCCAGTCAGACACCTTTTCCCACCAAGCTAGGAGCAATGTGTCATGCAAACCTCATCTAAAAGCTGTTTCTTTCACCTGCTAACATTTGCAAGCTGTGCTCCAGGAACAAGGAGCAGAAAAGCATCGCTCCAACAGGCAGTGCTGGGTTTAATGTTCCACAGGAGAACCAACATCTCCATTACACATCTTTTTTTGGTAGCAGCAGACTGAGATGTTTGAGTAAATGCACAGGAGCAGCATGGCTTCAGCAGTTAAACTGCTGTTTTGTGTATTCTGGGAAGGGGGGACATCAACAGATTGCAAAATGGCAAAGTCTCTCTGGACACTGCAAACAAACAACATGTTATGTAATTAGGCCTTTTGGGAGCCAGAGGAAGGTCTCCAGAAGATCAGGGCCCTCCCAGCGCTTTCTAATTTTACTGGGACTTACCAGCAAGCCTCTAAAATAGAAGCTTGTGCATGCTTTTTCTTTCATCTCCATGTCTCCCTGTACTGCCCTACCTTTGTTATTACTGCCCCAGAAAAACATATCTTACTCACTTTTTATCAAGCTGATTCATTCAGACTTCAATGGCAGAACTGAAGAGGCACTAAAGACCTTTAGAAAGGGCAGCAAAGGCATCTCTTGGCCATCAGAGCATGAGAAAACCTGGAATTTTAGAACTTTATTGAATCCAGTGTGCTAGGGAATGGCACCATTCCACATAACCGTTGCTTAACTGAGGTACAGCACTATCAAGCAGTGACAGAGCAAAAAGTCTTTAGCTCCATTATCCATATATTGTGCTAGTATATCTTCTTTATTGGAGCAAATTCTTCCAAGGGAGCATGCCTGTAAGCAGCAGCTCAGCATCAGGAACACTCTGCCTCTGTGCTGCTGGGCTGTCCTAAACTTGTGTCCAGGCAAAACATGGGCCTGCAGGAAATCATCTGCCAGTCAGACTGTACCACCCAGCACCTGAACACGGACTGTAGCAGCTGAGATTTAGATTAATGCCTACTGCCTTTCAGGCACACAGATAGATTTGAACATGTACCATTGGTTTCCTTCAATGGCCTCTCCCATATGAATGGAGAGAGCCCCTTGGTCAACATCTGTCCCTGCAGTCACCACCTCCTTACACCCAGGCTCTGGACACTTCTGATGTGGACACATCACTGTGATTCCTGGGAGAGACGGTTTAAAGACAACAGAGATACAAGGCATCTGCACAGAAAAGGCACGCTTGGGTTTCTAAGAAAGCTGCTTTCCCCTGTTTCTTGCTGCTGTGCACATTCTGGCACTGATAAGAAGGGGAAGGAGGAGGCCTGCAGCCCTGGTGAGGCACACCAGCACAGATCCCACAGGATGTGGTCAGCTCGCTGCCAGCACACCCCTTGGTTACTGGGCTGCTGGGAGCAGCCCAGAGGAAGGAAGGCACCAGCAGAGGCAAGCAGTGCCAGGAGAACACCTCTCCTCACCACAGCCCAAGCACCAAGAGGCAGCACAGACACAGGTCTTGGATGGAGGACAGACAGAGATCCTGGCCACACTGGAGGATCCGTGGCAAGGCGTAGTCCAAGCCCTGTGAGCGCCGTTGCAGAGCCTGTGGCTGTGTGTTTGGCCTGCCATGTAAACATGTCACATCCCCTGGGAGCTGGGCACAAACGTCAGTCTAACTGCCACTAGCCCAGTTTTGACAGTGTTGAGTGACCTGGATAAAAAGCAAAGAGCCTTTGGGAGATATCCTTATAGCCTAGTTCATTGTATCTCTGCATACAACTCCCTGCTTCTCCCAAAATGATAAAAAAAGTATTCAACTGCATTCCTCTCTACTACATTTATCATTCAGGAGTCAGGAGCCATGTGCTCTTGACCCTTGTGTGAGCAACATGCCTGTTGTAGCCTCCAGATTGTAGAGCTGTGAACTTTATTGCTCAGTTTTTCCTGAGAAGTCAAAATCCCAACTGGTAAAAATCCTGCCCGAGAACTACAAATCACCTTTTTTCCCCTCTGCCATCTACTTTGAGAAGTTTTATGAAGAAGTTTCATTCAGACACAGCAGATAGAGGTAACAGACAAACCACAAGGACCTTTCTGGGCACTCACCATGGTTTGTCTCAGATCCTGGGAGACCAGCAGCATAATAAATAACACCCAAGCCAAAATTTCTCTCTCCCTTGACACAGCAGTGCCCTTTACCAGTTGTTTCTTTCAGTTCTATGCAGTGCTTTTTGTTGTGCTACAGAACGTAGACCCTGTATTCACTGTAGGAAGAGCCTCAGGTTGGAAAAACACAGCTCCCAATCCTTACTCCTCCCAGAGTATGAGCTGGGCAAAAAATGTCTTCATGACATACCCAAGGATAGATGTCTTCTACTGTGATTTACTGAGAAAATTTATGTTCTCCACATAATGTAATAAGGCTACAGAACTAGTAATTTCCCCACCGTCCAAACAGCAACACTCAGGAGTAGCCTCCAACAGCTTTCAGCCTTTTCAGCCTCCTGTTTCTACTTGCAAGCAGATGAATGTGGCTGCATTGGGACGTAGATACATCCTAACCATGAGGCTTCCCTGCATGACAACACTTTTTCAACAGTGACCCAGACCTGCACCCTTCAGAACAGGAAGAGGTGAAGCAACCTTCACCAAAGCCCTGAGCAGAGCATCAGCTGTGACCCAGTACTGGGTGATCTGAGCCTCAACAGGAAACAGGAGGCAGGTACCACAGTTCACATGCTCAGTTTAAGCCCTTTGCAGGTCATGCCCTGGTGCCTGGCTGGCCACAGCCACCTCAGTTTTGTTCTCTGCTCTGCTGCAGAGCTGAGGCTGCAGAGATCTGCTCAGCGCATGGTTTTGGCTCCCAGCTCAGCTCACCTCCCTGCTGCTGGAAGGCTGGAGTGCCCCTGAGCAGGCATCACTCTCCAGTCTGCTGGCAAGGCAGGGACACAGTGTTTCAGGCTCCCCAAAGCGCCTAAGGCCACTCATGGCTTATTGCAATCCACTGGCACCCAAACATCTCCGGTGCAGCTCTGGGAGCTAAGTGCATTTTGTTTCAGGAGAAACAGAGACTGTAAGGAACAAATAAAACCTTGACTTACACTATCTCATCATTCTGGAACTCCAGCTCCCCGCAGGTGTCTTCAAAGTCCTCTCCTCCACCTTTGGCCGTGCCTTCAATGGTTTTGTAGGGCACAATAACATTTCCTCGTGCTCCAGAGGTTCGCAACACTTTCACTTCCATGGTTCCTACACTTTCACTGATGTGTGTTACTGGCTCCTCAAAGGTGAAGATGCCGGCGTGGTCATCGTCAAAAATGGTGACGGTGGCAGTAGATGGTGATCCCAAGCAGGCGAGTGTCGAGACACGACTGGCCTCAAGAACGCCCTCATCGCCCTCGGTGCTCACACGGACGTTGCTGAGATGGACCAGGAAGTTCTCATCCTCCTCAAATATGTCGTCGTCAATTATGCCAACACGGATTTCCTTTTGGGTCTCTCCAGGCTTGAAGACCACAGTCCCTTCAGTGAACTCGTAGTCAGAGCCGGCGTTGGCCGTGCCGTCCTCCGTCCGGAAGTCGACGTACACCGTGTTGGTCAGGTCTCCTCCCCGGCGCACGATGGTCAGGGCCACGGTGCCGCAGTTCTCCAAGCACTGGTAGGTGCCCTGCTCGAAGTAGAGCTTGCTGACGGGATCGTTTTCCGTCACCTCGCTGTTGACCTCGTGCATGCTGACGGCTTTGCGGGCCTGGTCTGCGGCGTGTCTCTTGAGGATGTTGCCAGCTCCGGTCATGAGCCGAGTGGCCTGGATGCGGTAGAAGGCCCTGCTCTTCTGCTGCTGGCTCAGGACCTGGTAGTTGGCCAACTCTATGAGCTGCTCAATTTCCTTGTCTGGGTGCTTTTGCTTCAGCTCCTTCAGGATCCGAGCCATTTCCCTCCTGGCTTCCTCGTCATCCTGGTCTTTCTCGTCCACCTCCAACACCAGTGTCCCATCCAAAAAGTTCTCCACGTGAGAATTAGCAACCTTTCCGTCCATCTCGATGTCAGCCTTGGAGGAGGGCCGGTCACCCTCATGCTCAATGATCATGCCTCTCTGCTTGCCAGCTCGGTATTTCTTGTAGACGTACTTGTAAAATAAAAGCCTCCTGTCGGCTATCCAGGCAAACACCACACAGATGGGGAAGAAGAAGAAGGTGAGCAAGCCTTCCCAAACCTCCACAATCCCAGGAGAAGAGACAGATAAAATAATGTAAAGCCAAGTGTAGGCAAAGATGCTCCAGGCCGCTGTAACAAAAAACACTCTCAGGTGCTTGATCTTCCTTATCTCTCCATCTGGCACCACGTACACACAGATTGCAATGATGACAAACATGTTGAAGGCAGCGCTCCCCACGATGGTGCTCGGCCCCAAGTCCCCCGCCGTGAAGCCATGGCCGCACACCTCAATTACAGACAGGAGGATCTCGGGAGCAGATGAGCCCAAGGCCATCAGCGTGAGGTTGGACACGGTCTCGTTCCAGATCCTCACGGTGGTTTTGCTGGTCTCGCCGTTGGGCTTCTTGATGGTTATTTCCCGCTCCTGGGACGTAATGACTTCGATGGAGGACATGAAGCGGTCGGCTATGATGGACACTCCCAGGAACATGTACACCATTGCCACGAAATACACCGTAGCCCGAGCGATTTTGTCCCCAAAGGAGGGGTCCTGGGGTTCCCATATTGGTAAAATGACGCCCTTTTTGCAGATGTAGGAGCCCGCGCACTCCTCGGTGTCGTTGGCGGGCAGCTCGCTGGGGCTCTCGGCGTGCGCGCCCTCCGCGCGGAGCAGCAGCACCAGGACAAGGCTCAGCAGAGGGCAGCTCGCCGGGGAGTGTGCGCGAGTCACTCGCGACATGGCCGCTTCACCAGGCACGTCCCAAGCGTCCTCAACCTGAAAAGGCAAAAGGAAAGATTAAGTGAGGCCAACCAGAGATAACAGATTTTCCTCTCCAAAGATATGATCAAGTTATCCTGTTGCTCAGGAAGATGCAGCTGATGAGCCCATTTTGTTATGATTAGTGATGTTTTCCATGTAGAAATCCTCTAGTTCAGTCATCTGGACCAGGATGGATTCAGATGGTACCAGTGAGCTAGCACCGACCCCTTTAGCTACCATTTCTTTCTCTTCGCTGAAAACCTGTTTGTTTAATTGCATTTTCTTGTTCCTCTAATCTAATCTAATTAAAGCCCATCGTTCTGCTTCACAGCTGGCAGAAGTGTTTCCCCTTTCAAAATTACAGTGCACTCACTCCAGTGGAATTCAGGCTAAGAGCAGGAGAGGACAGGGAAATCTACTATCCCTTCATCATGTTTTAAAAGTATTTTTTACTTTTTAAATCACTGTAAGCTATGTATTTCACAGTCCTTTCTTGCTCACAGTCCTCCCAAGCATCTACTCCACATCAGAAATCTGCACAAAGTGAGCCTGAGCCCTGGCAAAACCTTACTCTTAACAGTAACTTGGTCATAAGGTGCACCAGAAGGGCAGCCTGTAATTAATGATTTTGGAGCCATTCCTTCCACGGTGCATCACTTCGCACCTTCCCAAAACTGGAAGAGCCGCATATGCATGGAAGCCTGGCTCTCTTGGCATGCTTCTAGAGGAAACATGTCCCTGTGCTCTTTTCCCACTAGGTCAGCTTTGACGGCTTCCCCTTCAAGGGCCTTTCTCACTCCATTTACAACATCAGTCATCAGGCATGACAGCCGTTCTTGCCCTGGTCCTGCCTCAGGATTTCCCAGCAATGTAGAGGAGCTGTTAAAGAGGTTTGCAGTTAGTTAACAGTGCATAAACCGACAGAACAGATGCCTTTAAGTACAAAGAGATGCTTAGTGGAAAAAAACCCCAAACCTGAGCATGCTCAGTGTTGCATTCTCAAATTCACTAGCCAATAAAAGCCAGATCCCTAGTTATTAAAGCTGTATTTTCTCCTCAAGGACAGCCTTTGCTATACCACACTTCTCCCATCCAAGTTAATTTAATCACATGGTACTTAAAAATGTTTCTATGAAGAGAGGAAAATGAGCACATCAATACCTCGACTTCATTGGGAATATGAAAATCTGAGCTGATTTTCCTCAGAAAAAACCCACACCCCTGAAAGAAAAAGCCAACAAAGCTCAGCCATGAAAGGTTTAACTCCTCGTTGGGGCAGGGACATATTGTGCAGGGACAGGGCTGTGTGCAAGGGAACAACTGGCTGGAGGAATCAATGGGAACCATCCCACACCCATGTTATGGGATCTGCTCCACAAAGACACTGCAATGGTGGATCAGAGCCCTCTCCTCCGTTTGCTTTTATTTATAGATGCTGCAGCAGGATTATTGCTCTGGAAGAGTAATACTGAGAATTTATCAAGACAGTTTCATATAAATGGCATTTTCTCACCAGGAATTGTTGGTCTGCCTCCAACCCCTCACTCCCTGGTATTCTAATTAAGAAAATAAAAAGATACATAGTGGAGGAAGTGAGCAAATCAGAGAGCTGGGTGATAAGAACAGATAAATTGAACAAGAAAAAGCAAGTCTCCTGTAGGAAGACAGATTTAAAAGAAAGATGTTTGCATTGGGAATCCTGCTAATGCTACAAAAAAAGCTCTTACTACCAGACTCATTGCCCCCTGAGTGTAGCACCTGGGTACCTTCTGCTTCCCCAAATGTGAGCTGTAGCCACCGCTTCCAAGCCCAAAGTGAAAAAAATGCAAGCATGATGTTTGTAAAGAGGAGCACCCTGTTGCACACCCTGCAGTGGATGGCTGAGCTGAAACAGATGTGCATTCACGGTCACTGAGATTTAGTGAAGCATGAATTAGTCACCCAACATCTGTACCCATGTCTGACACTGCTCCAAACCAAGTCATGGAGACATTTGGTAAAGGGGCTGTCAAAATACAGGCTGACTCGGTACCTACTCTTTTAATCCCAGATAGCTCCTAAGTGTAGCTTTGTTTCCTTTCTAAATATGTAGGCTAAAAAAAATTAATGGTGGACATAAAATATTACTCAGTTGCATTGAAGAGAGGGTTCTTCACCCTCTCCTTCTAAAGGGTAGTAGTTTCTTCAGAAAACTCAAGAATATCCACCTGTCCTTGTTCAGTTAATTTTTCTCCCTGTGGCAAGTCATATCCCTGCACATGTACAATTATTTGGAGCAATCAGGCATTGTGAAATCCCCTTGGCAAGAAGAGAAAACAGATGGTTCTAGCAAAAATATTATGCTTTGGGTCACTGATTTAGGTCATGAAGAATAGGAGAGTCCCATCACACTTTGGACCAACTCTCCAGCCTTAAGAGGATTTGTGTACTGGAAGCCTCATTCAGAAAAAAAGACACCCACAAAATCAAATTAATAAGTAATTTGAATTTTATTTACCACGTGTTCCCCCTTTCAAACATTCTAATATAAGCTGGGTTTTGTTTTGGTTTGTTTATTTTGTTTGTTTGTTTGTTTGAAATCAAGTCCCATACTACTTTAAACAGGAGGAAAAAAGGCCTAGAGGCTTGCATCTGAGCAATTCATATTTCTGGCATTCCCAACCAGCACTCCATGTACAATTAATATTCTTCCCTCCGATGTCAGGAGGTAAGAAATGTGGAGCTTTTCTGGAGAGGGATAAGAAATGGCTGGAGCTTTGGAAGAGACATCCACCAGCCGTGCCAATGTGCATCCTTTGGGCAGCAGCAGCATCCCCCAACTCTGCTGTACTTCCTCCAGCATTTCGAGGTGCAGTCATCAAGCAAGGTTCACACACCGTGACCAGCTTTCCTGCTTAAACCAATTCCCAGTGAGGCTCAGGAATTATGAAGCGCTACAAAACGCTTGGCCACAACATGCTAGTTACACACATGCAGCCAGAGCCTGACACTCAAAATATCTCCGAGAAGCACCTGCTATTAAATCATCAGCATTTCTTTATTTGCACAATCCAAAATAAACAGCTTGGTCCCCAGAGACCCTCTTGCTCTGCATTTGCCGACAGGCTCGGCTCACAGTCAGCACAGTGTGGCACAGTGTAGGGATATTCCCAGAAACATCATTTCCAACATGCTGTAAGGAGAAGCAAGGCTACCTGAAGGGCAGCCCTCCCTCCAAACCCAACTTTGTTAGCTTTTCATGAAGGTCCCCATTGCATTTCCCATCCCGGCCATCAGAAAGAAAAGCGTGTGCAGCAGCTGATGCCCAGAGCAGGCTGGCAGCCCTGGCAAGCCCTGCCTGGTGCTCCTGGCCTCGCTGGCACTGCCCCAGTGCCTCTGGGGACAGGGGAGCAGGGCAGCACAGGCCAGGGCCACAGCCTGCTCTGTCTCAGGCTCAGTGCTGGCCTCGCCGTGCGGTGAAAAACCCCAAAGTGCTGCCCCAGGCCAGCACTGCCCTGCCCAGAAGCACCACCTGGTGCCCAGGGACAGCACCCGGAGCCCTTTTGACCACTGCAGGAGGGGAACTGTGCTGGTGCTGCTGGAGAGCTCTCAGGGAGAGCTCAAACTAACCAGGAGAGATGGAGCCCAGCCTGGGTTCTCCTGAGCCCCTTTCCCTTTCCAGACCAGCTCCACAGGGGTGCCAGCGGGTGTTTCTGCACAGGCTGGGAGGAAAGCCTGCGAGAGGCTCCAAAACAAGCTCAGTTTAGATGGAACTCCTGGCCAAGGGCTGTCAGTCCAGCCTTTCTTCCAGCCCTAGGTGCTGCGAAACCCCAGCAGGGCAGTGCTGTTGCCCACAGCAGGGATGGCAGGGTTGCAGAGGTATTTGCCTCCCTGCTGGACGTAGAAGCTCTAGGCTTTACAAATTGGTAGGAGAGAGCTCCTGCTGCCAGCTCGTGCTCCTGCCCCCCAGCTGAGGAGCTGCCAGATGGGGAGGAAACAGCCTTTTAGACTCTGCTCTGATCTTTCCCTGGCAGCATCGATCCTTCGGGCTGCCTGGTTGCTGCATGCAAAGCGAGCCTGAAAGCTGCTCTGCATTTAAAAAAAGCACAGCTTTTTCTTTGCAGCACCCTCCCAAAAGTCCCATCTCCATCAGGGCACTTCAGCTTTGAAATACTCAATGTTAGTTTATCCCTATTATTTTCCTAAAGCTTTGTATCTCACACGGGTCTATGACCACTTGCAATACACTAGAAGCACCATTATTTTTAAGAGTGCTAAAAAAATCATTGCTGGACCAGACACTTTCATTACAGAAGGACTGGGTAAGAGGGAAATGGCCTGGGCTCAGGAGGAATGAGTGGCCACACAAAGAAAGGCTTTCCATGTGGAAATTCTTTTGCAGCTCCCCACAGCAGAGGTGCACAGAGCAGCTGTCACACAGCATGCTCACACCATTGCAGCCACCGCTGCAGCCACCCAGCGTGCCCGCCCCACTGCGACACCATCACCTTCACCATGAACGTCACTGCTGCCAGTCCTGCCAGCGTGCATGGCAGAAGGTGTCCCCAGAGCTGTGTCACCACCCTGCAGGCGGCTGGAGCAGCATCTGAACCCACAGGCTGCCTGGTCGCTTGCTGGGGATCAAAGTTTGCTCTTCACATCAGAGTGGCTGCTCTTCAACTTGACGTGGAACACAGCCAGGAGCCTGTTGCAGCACCACGGGGATTCCCAAAGAGTCTTTTCCCATCCTACAGTCAGAGCTAGACAAGAGAGGACCTTTTCCTAGCAAGAGTGCACTAGGGAGAGACAGGGAAGACAGCTCAAGCCACCCTTTTCTGGTGTCACAGGCTGGAGGAAGATGGTGTCCCTTCAGCCAGAGGAGCCAAAAAGTGACAAAGAAGCAGCTAGTGGTCACTGCAAGGAATAGCCAGCCTGCACAATAGAGAAATGGGGGATCAAAGCAGCTCAGCTGCTCCCCACCCTGTCCCAGGGGAAAAGACAGCAGCAAGCCCCCAAAAAAACAACTTTCTCCTAGCCCATGATCAAGCCTGAAGTCCCCAAGTTACAGCACCCCTTCCCCAGTTTCTCTTGCAGGGGAAGAAGAATCCACTGCAGTCCTCCTGTGAAGAAGCACTGCATGCATTGACTCCATGCGTGGCACTTACAGCCACGGCCCCGTCTCTGGAGGAACAGGAGCTCCTCCTCTGCTGCTGCCCCTGCCGGGCTGTGCCCAAGCCCGTGCTCCTGTGCCTCCCTGCAGCCAGCAGCCTGCTCTCCAGCACACAGCTCGGGCAAAGCCTGCGCTGGGAAAGATATGGCTGCAGGGAAAAACAACCCAAACAAGCCATCTGGTCTCTGGCCATCACAGGTCCAGCTTCTTGCAGCCAAGGGACACAGAGCAGATGCCAGTGGCCTTGCAAGGAGAGACAGGGTGCTGGGAGAGCTGTCTGGGCAGCCACAGGCTCCGCCGGCTTCGCCTCCGACCTTGGTGCTGAGCCCATGGCACGGCTTTGGTAAAACCGAGCTCCTGACAGCTGTGAATTTACCTGTCAGGGCAGGAAAAAGAGCCCACACTGGCTGTACATGCAAACCGTGCAGAGAGCTGCAGAGTCCAGAGCCTGTGCTGCCACTCAGGGCGGCGTAGCGTGACGGCGCCTTCAACGCCGTTTGGAAAACCCTTGGCTCGCTTCCCTGCTCTGGCTCTGCCTGGCTCCTGCTCCCTCTCCCCCAGCCCTGCCACTCCAAAACAGGCACAGCCCGTTGGCATCCCCTACCCATCGCCCTGTAGATCTCCACATCAGGAAAATGATTTCCAGGCCATCAGCATCCTGATTGCATCAGTACAAAAAAACATCGAAACCTTTCCAAATATAGTCAGAGGCACAAGCCCTCCATGAAGCCGATCAAGTAAAACACACATCAGGCCACCCTGCTTTCTGTAAGGGACATTAAAAAGTAAGAATAATTATCAGTCTGCCACTGATTTTTCCAAGTACCCTATCTCTTCAATGAAACATCCAATCTCCTTCCACAATTTCCCCAGCAACTTTCCAAAATAAACGGACAAATAGAGAAAATAAAATATCTCTGATATAAAATTTCAACTGCATTTGGATGAATTTGGGGGCAGCTTGCAGAAAATGAGCTTGGAACTGTTAATCAGGGAGATTACAGTCTTGCTTTTCACACATGGAGACCAAGTGTCAAGTTGTCCCTTTCTCCCACGACTCGAGATCTCAGCTAGGAATATGCCAGGAAACAAGAAGCAAGGGGGAAATGCCACATTTCTCTGGGACTGGGGTTTGCTTGTTTGCTTGTTTGTTTGTTTTTCAAACAACTGTCTTCCCACTTGCTGCTGTCTTCAGAGCATTTCTTTACCCTTACCGCCTGCCTTTGGTCTCTTCTTTATCAAGCAGCATCAGGCCCTTTCCTGTGATTCCTCTTGGGTCGCTGATGCCTTCCTGTCTGCCTGTGCATCTCCCTTGCTGCTTTAAGCACAGGCTGCCCGTTCGCCACGAGCCAGCCCTGGGGCTGCCTGGCTGGCAGGCTCCTGTGTGATCCCAGGGCAGCCCAGCACCTCCCTGTGCCCCCTGTCTCTGTGTGAAATGGGAAGAGCATCTCCTCTGAGTGCTGGGAGAATAAAACACTGCTAATGAGCCCGAGCCTCTTGGGCAGCCTTCTGCTTTCCCCTATGCCTGTGTCCTCTCTTTCCTCTGGGACTGTTTTTGCACTGGGTTTTGTAGCTGTGTCTGGGTCTTCTGTCGAGATGTCTGGGATGCTCCCCTGGGCCCTGCAGGAGCAGAAGGCTTCAAGGGAGAGGAGATAAATCCTCATCCCCAGCTCCCTGAGACCATCCAGGGATGAAGAGGTGGAGATGTCCATAGGGATGGGTGTGGGGAAAGACCAATGCAAATGCAGGTTGCTGACGTGATGTTCAATTCAGCAATTCAGGCATGGTACCAGGCAGGAGCTGGGCAGGTTGGGCTGGGCTGGGGGCTCACCCTGCCATGCTCCATCCATCTGTGTGACTGCTCCTGGCTGGGGAAGGGTGGTAGCACCTCCCAGCAGAGCCAGGTGCAGAGGCACAGCTCTGGCACGGCTGACTCTAGAGGGAGCTGGATGCTAGTGCCGAGCAGATGGCCAGCTTTTGGACCCCCAGACCTCAGGCAGGGGATTCTACACCCAGGTGTGTGCCAGGCCTTCTTCACCGATCTCAAACACAAGGTCAGCCACCCCTTCCTTCTCTTCAGACTCCCCCACCTTCTCTGTCTCCTCAGGAGCTCTTTGCAGCACCGAATCTCACTTCTATTTGTAGCCAGGTTTCCTAAGGAAGCCAGGCACATGAAATCACAGTTTCCATGTCTGTCTGTCTATTCACATCGCTCCCCCCTCTTTCCAATTTCAGCTGAAATCACCAGAGGGACAGAGATAACAGCAAAAGCCAAGTTCCTCCAAGGCTCCTGAAAGCAGCTGGAGGGATACCACTCGCAGCCTTGGCAAGGGAAAGCCTGTGGTCAGGCAGCTCAGCCCACAGAGGATGCCAGAGGATCCAGAGCACAGCAGCCTGCAGCAGCCCCAGGTGCAGCCAGGATTTGCACAGCTGTGTGCACTGGTGTCCAGGAGCTGGGAGCAGATCCCAGCACTCTGAGCTTGGACAGAGCTCCAGGGTGTTCCCCTGCCAGTCACAAGGAGAGCCACTGGCACTCCTGTTGTCTGTCACCAACCTGTTGGTTGGTTGTCCAGTAATGCTTGGACCTTGTGGGCACTGGGCTTTATTACAGGATCTAATTTTCATGAGGGTGCTGGAGAACAGGGGCTTTTTATCTCTGTGGGCAATCAGGACTCTATCCCCTCAAAGCCACAGCAAAAGCCCAAATTCTGACCCAGATGCAACCCCAGAAAATCACAACCCTGAACACCCTGAGCGTATCAGGACACTACAAAAGGCAGAGAAGTGGCTGTGCCTATACAGCATCATTTAAGGTGCTGTACAGAGCAAGGGCATAAACCAAAGTTTGTGCCATGTCATGTGCAGCAGTGACAGGAGAGAAGCCGAGGCGCGGACTGGGCAGATACAGGACAGTGAACACTTAAATTTCAGGAGCCATTCACAGCCAATAGATTACAAAAACCTTAAAGAAAGTGAAGGAAGGAGAAGCAAGGAAAGTTTTATCAGGTTAGAACTGTGCTACTGCTGGCACTCAGGGGTGCTGGACACAGAGGCTACGTCCAACCTCCTCTGGTATCTTGGATGCAAAGCCTGGTAGAGAGGAAGCTCTGACCAACGTGGCTCCTCAGCACTGGCTTAGGAATTGTCCAGTCAATAGAGCTGGTAAGAGGAGTCAGACAGCTTTCCTGGGAGTTGCTGGTGGGGGTTCATGGCTTGGCTGGCAGGTGATAGTCGTAGAAATGCTGCATTATTTCCCTATTTGGCCTTAATGTGTGTGCTGGACGAGGGGCAAAGCTGCTATTGAAGAACCAGTCAGAAGGAAGGGGAGAAAGGAACAGCTAATAGATAGGATCACAAGGAAGGATCACAATTTTTTTTTTTTTTTGATCATAGCCATGTCCCCAGCCAAAGCCATACAGCACAGCTCTTTTTTTCCTGGATGCTACCATCACATCAATATGCATGCGTCCCAGCTCCCCTCTTCTAAACAAAAGCACACCCCTTCGCTTTGCGATGGTGACAAAAAGCACTGAAATTCCTAGGCAGGTGCTAGAGGAGCACACAGAGAGCCCCAGCCTCTCTCAGCCTTCGTTTCCATTGCCTGACTTGTGAATTTGCAACATCTGGGACTGGAGGAATGAACAGGTTCCTGCAAAGCGCAAGCGAAAAGGAGCCCTGAAAGCACACGCTTGCACCCACACGCCCGTGACCTTGTGATTTTACTACAGCTTTCATTTTCAGAGCCCGGTCCTCCCCGGTGCTTGCTGCATTTCTGCAACATTTTGGCAGTTTGCTCTCGCCGTGGAGACAGAGCAGAGTGTGGAGTTGTTTTGCGCGGCTCGGCGGGGAGGGAAGCAACAAGGCTGCGAATAGAGAATTAAACTCAAGATGACGGAAGAGCCCCAGCCATGCTTCCACCTAGACAAAGCCTACGTGATGAGCGCTGCTTAATGCCAGCCCTTAATAACGCACGCCGCTCGAGACGAAAATGGGAATTTCGGCGTGCTGCAGGTGCCTCCGAGCACCGGGCTCGGGCGGCGGTCGGAGGCGGGGGAAGCAGCCCTGCCTGCCCGGGGGCGCGCACAGCCCCGCCGGGCGGCGGCTCCGCGCCCGCCGCGCCCGGGGATGCGCCCCAGCCCCCGGACGGAGATGTGCCCAGAACCCCCGGGACGGAGATGTGCCCCAGCCCCCGGGACGGAGATGTGCCCAAAGCCCCCCGGTACGGAGATGTGCCCAGAACCCCCGGGACGGAGATGTGCCCAGAACCCCCGGGACGGAGATGTGCCCCAGCCCCCGGGCAGGAGATGTGCCCAAGCCCCCCGGGACGGAGATGTGCCCTAGCCCCCCGGGCAGGAGATGTGCCCAAAGTCCCCCGGGACGGAGATGTGCCCCAGCCCCGGGACGGAGATGCGCCCCAGCCCCTGCCCGGCAATGCCCGGCTCTCGGGCTAGCGACCCCCGCCGCAGCCGCGCCTCCGTCGCGACATGTCGCGATTGGCCGCCGGCGGAGGGAGAGCCCCTCCGGCCGCCTAAGGAGCCGCGGCTGGGCTGTGGGAAGCGTTCCCGGGTGTGTGCCCGAGTGCGAGCATCCCACCCCCGCCTCCCCCCGGCTCCCGCACGGCCCCGGTCCCCGCGCCGCCCCGGCAGCCTCGCCGGCGCTCGGATGGCGGTGCGGGCGGCGGCGGAGGCCGGGCACGCTCCTACCTGGCGGCAGCGGCAGCGGGCGTCGCCGGGCCGGCTCAGCAGCGGCGGGGCATCGCGGCGGGGCGGGCGGCGGAGCCCCGGTGCGCGGCTGCGGCGGCGGCGGGGACAGACGGAGGGAGGGAGGGAGAAGGGAGGGAGAAGGGAGGGAGGAAGGGAGGGAGGGATGGAGGGATGGATGGAGGGAGCGCGCACACACACACACACACGCACACACACGCGGGGATGCGCTCAGCCGGCCCGCCCCGCAGGCAGCCTCCCCTCCCTGCGCATCCCTCCGCCGCGCTGCGCGGGCAGTGAGGGACCCGCCGTCCCTCCTCCTGGGGAGCCGCTTCAGCCCTCCTCCTCCTCCTCCTCCTCCTCCTCGTCCTCCCGCGGCTGGAAATATTTCCCGAATTCCTCCTCGCATCGAGGGACTTTGAAAGGCAGGGCTGGTTGCGGACCCACCCCCAGCAGCCCTGCCCTCCCCGCTTGGGGCAGTCCCCAGCCCTGCCCTGCCTGCCTCCAGTCCTGCCCGGGACAGTTCCCATCCGTGCCCTGCCTGCCCCCAGCACTGCCCACATCGCCCCGGCCGAGCTGCAGCGTGCCAGGGCGATCCTGAGCCCATTTGCAGCCTTCAGGAGAGATGGACAGAAGGGAAACGTGTGTGTGTGTGTGTGTGTGTTGTGTGTGTGTGTGTGTCTGTGTCTGTGTCTGTGTGTGTGTCTGTGTGTCTGTCTGTGTGTGTGTCTGTGTGTGTGTGTGTGTGTGTGTGTGTGTGTGTGTCTGTCTGTGTGTGTGTGTGTGTGTGTGTGTGTGTGTGTGTCTGTGTGTGTGTGTGTGTGTGTGTGTGTGTGTGTGTCTGTCTGTGTGTCTGTCTGTGTGTGTGTCTGTGTGTGTTGTGTCTGTGTGTCTGTTGGACAGCAGAGCCTTGCTGTGTCTGCCCCCAGCGTTGCCCATGGCAGCCGTGGGGAGGCAGGAGGTCAGGAGCATCCCAAGGGCCCTGGGCTGATGTTCTCCCCTCTCTCAGCAGGGGACATGGGGTGACAGCCATGGAGAATTTGGGTGGGCTGGGACCCTCCTGGGAGCCGGACTCACCTTCATGCCTGACCCCACAGAGCCCCTGTCCCACAGAACCTCCTGTCCCACAGAGCCCCCGACTCCACAGAGCCCCTGTCCCACAGAGCCCC